CCAAACCAAACACGCTTTACTATAGAGTTTCTAACGATGGACTTCCGAAAAAGAAGGTGCACCTTGTTGGTATGAGTAGTACCTAGCAAATCTTTTTAAGCTTTCCTGTTCCCCACTGTACCAACATGGATCTTTTCAACATGCTTTATCCTCACTCGTACGCTCCCCAATAAAACTTCACAGGGGATCACCCGTCATAGAATTGCTCCAAGCCAAGCACAATTAACTGTAGAGTTTCCAACAATGGACTTTCGGAAAAGAAGATGCACCTTGTTGGTATGAGTAGTACCTATCAAATATTTTAAACTTTCCTGGTCTGGGTATTTCAGGTTTTCTTAACAATACAATTTGTATAGAACCTTTCTACCATTACAGAATGGAGCTTCACAGAAGCCCCACAGATCACACACATAAGGAGGGCGGGAAAATTTTGAACCAATTTTTAATCACGTGGGTCCCGCATCGGGACTCACCTCATGTGAGGGTCGGTAAGCCTTCTGTGAACCGACCCTCTGTACATATAGATTAATCCATTCGTATAAGGCCTGATTTTCAAGCCTTTGATTGAGACTTCCTATATCTTTCGATGTGACACTCTGAATTGATGACATCACACGGTATTTGGAATGGAGTTGGATTTTTTTTAATACATGGTGAATGACTTTAAATGTCTGGTAGAATGAATTATGAGTACCTCATAATCATCGAGACAAGGAGAAGCAACTGAAAGTAAGTAACTCTTCTTTGGCAAAGTTAGTACCCGTAGCCATTTCCAATGCCATGAGGGATTTTATTTGAAAAATGAAGCATTTTCTAGCTACTTTATTTCAGTGTTTCGTTAACAATTGGAGATGTATTGTCACTGTCACCAGTCATATTCTCAAGACCAAATCCAGCCTAAATAATGGGCTTGTTGCTGGAGCTCTTATTTTTATTGGGTCGGGATCACTTGAACTTTTAATTTTTAAAAATATTCAACTTCAAATTCATATATTTCCCTTATTTAAACAAGTTGACTTACTTTAAAGTAGAATCCTTTCTCCGGTGGAGGTTAGGATTTCTTTTGAAAGTACGAAGTTCGACCCAACTAACACCTAGAAGGAGGGGAGATGAATAGGTGTTTACGCAGAATTTAAATTTACCAATTAATAAATGCAACAAGTCACAATTATTAATTAATCCAGATAAATTCACATGTACAACTATCCAATGTTGAATTATCGTAGTTAATAAATTACTGAAAAATAAATAACACTTGAAAATTGTTAATGGAAAAAACTCGTGACTGGGTAAAAACTCCGGGCCTAAGCTAGTAAAATCCACTATAAACGAATCAACTTATAGTACTTTCAGATTTGACAAACTCTAGTAATTTCTAAGCTCTTGACTGTAATCACCAAAGCCCTCCTGGATTGCGTGCTCATGCACCAACTCCCGACTTTCAAAATTTGTCTATTCCCTCTGGATCAATGAGATCTCCTCATTCTCCAACAACCAAAACTTCGGTCACCTTCCTTGATTTTCAAAACTCAAACAAATGTTATGGAAGTATGTGTTTTGGTGTTTGGTTTATGTGAAGTTGATGTTTTTCAATGCTACGAAGAAATAAAAATGAAGGTTAAACTAATAGAATGATATGTAGCAAGCTTAATCTCTTATTTCTCTTAATGTTCAACCCACCTTTTTCGAATGGAGGCGAGGATATATATAGTGTGTATGGGCCGAATAAAAACCTTAAAAATGCTAAATAGGTTTTCTCAAGATACATTGTCCCTCGAGCGACAGCTCAGGGATAGGCAAGCCACGGTGTAGCGACACAGTTTCTGTTTTTATTGCTCGAGCATCGCTGGGCGATAGGCTAACGATATTTCGACGACTCTTTTCTCCTCGTTCCATATTCGAACCCTATGACTTCTAACTCACATATACAACTTACCACTTGACACTTTGACTTTTAAAAACTCTTTTTCAATAATAGTTTTGTCAAAATATTGCTAACATCTTTAAAACCTAACAAACTCCCATTTTGACATTCTGTGACAAAACATGTATTACAAATCAAATAAATTCAATCTAATCTACCCAAAACCTACTAACTCGACTGAATCTTGCTTTTCCTTTGTCCAACTTGTTTCCTGAAAAAAACTCAAATATCAAGTGTAAAAGCATGTGAAACAATAACATGATTAAAATCACTTGAGATGGTCAACAACATACTAGCTAAATTAAGATACAATATCAATGTAACCCAACACACCAAAACCAAACATTGATATCACTAAACATCAAATCTTAATCTAGCTAAACATTCAAAAATATCATCTCCCATTAAAAAAACAAAATAATCTCCCCCTTACTATAAAATAAACTAAATTTTTTGAAAAATACATCCCCCCTTTTTGTTCCAAATGACGAAGGTAACAACAATATATAATAACTCAAAGATACAATTATTAGCATGTACAAACATATCAATAATCAGTAAACATTCCCACATACTCAGTTCAAGTTATGTTTTTAGTGTTGGAGATTTTGTGGACAAAAGGACTAATTTGTAACGTGTTGTAAAAGTCAAGGATCTAGCGTACAATTTGTACAAATTTGGTTATGAGATCTAGGTTTCGAGCATGAAAAGAGGAAAAACATGGCGTCACATTTTAGCTAGCTTCTCGCCCAGTTGGCGCTCAAGCTGCAAAAGATGATTGTCTTTCGCCCGCCTGTAGCCAAGCTATCGCTAGTCGCTCGCCTGTCGTTGATCCCTCGCTCGAGCAACTAGTCGATCAGGAAAATCCTAATTTGCTCATAAAAATTATGTATCCATCTAATATTATATCATATTATATTTCATTTGCATTGATTGGTTGAAATAGAAGCGGGGGGTTTGATACGTGTTATAGAAAAGCAACTACCTTATCTTTTGTTATTTGACAGTTGCAAGTGGGTGTATAAGTTGATATTTAGGGGAACATATGATTATTTCTCTCAACCACTATGCCACTTTCATTCATCCATTTCTTAGCCACGTCTATCTTATATATATACACTCAAGCACACGGTCATTTTTAAGCACACAAATATTCACTTTTCTATATATTTTTCTATTCACCAAATCAAGGCATTTGGAGGAGATTTGAATTTTAAAAAAAATTATTTTTCAAGTTTCCTAGCATTTTCAGATTTTTATTTAATGTAAGATATATAATGTGCAGTGATTAAATTCTTATTTTTCTTAGATTTATATTATGATTACATTTAATGCTCAAAGACCTATGGTTCAATTTTATGTTAATTCCTTTGGAATAGACCGCTAGGTTCAATTATGTTAAATCTTTCAAGATGTGGGAATTCAAAGGAAACTTCTTGAGTTATCTATTATCGCGATCAGGCACTCTAAATCTTAGAATGTCGAGTATAAAATATTTGATGTATATTTATATTATGTTGAATGCGGATTTTGCATGTATCTTACTGAATGTTTTATTTAAAATACAAACCCTTACAAAAAATTCAGATTAGAACGAGATTGTGTTGGATATATGGAAGATTGGACGAGTGGATGCTTATAAGTTGCGAAGTAAAAAAATTTATTTTAAGCACGTTCATAACTGTATTTTTATTTAATATTTTCAAGTTTAGTATTTGCACATTTATTTAGTAGTTTTGACATTAGTGTTTTATTTATTTTAATTTAAATTGACGTTTGAATGAAGTCATTTACATTTAAATATCATGTGACTATTCCTTTAAATTTGTTGAGTTTAATTATAGATTCCCTTTTAATTTACAAAGAATCAACTTATTTTCTCAAAAATAAGGATTTTTGAAATCATGTTATATCCCGCTTAGAAAATAATAAATAATTAATTAAATAAATTTGGTAACACTTCGAGTTTTTAAAGTTAAAATTTAGGGCATTACAAATTGAAAAACTGAGAAGCAAATGCAATGAGAGTGATGATTTTTTTTCTTCATTAATAAATTCAGCTTTATGTCATGAGTAACATACATCAAGTGCTAACATTTGGTTACTTATATATGTCATGAACAATGAACTATTCTCACACAATTCATTCTAAACTTTAATGGAGTACAATGTATAAGATACACGTGTGTGAGATGTGCCACTAATATCTTGTGAGCAAGACTCAAAGCCTTAATTTTGCGAGAAACGATATGCATAAGAAATCAATAGTGAATGAATTTTTCTCAAATAATGAAAGTCAAACCCAACACTATTAGGACATTTTAAATAAAAAGATAATATTTAATTTTTTTTTTTTTGTAAAACTTTTTCTCCCCCTATTTGTGAGCATATATATACTTTTTTTTTTTTTCACTCTTATGTACATACTTTTCTTCATTAAGCTTTCTAAATGACCTTTGTAGTGAGTTTTAGGTCGATGACTCTCAAGTCAAATGACTGTAAGACATTAAATTTTTGATACCCTAGCACGCTTAATTACTCGAGTCATGAAGGCTATGAAAAGAAGTATAAGATGTATCACCTTCTCTATTGACATAAGATCCAATTCTTTTGAAACTCGTTGTTGTTTTCTTTATGGGAAATATACTAGAGTTTAGGTGAGCTAGTTAAAGGTCAATGCATATTCAAGATCACACACTACATCGATGACCGCTATCCAAAGTCTCACACACGCGGTCAATACTCACTCACAAGAGGTTAGTGTGTGCAATACGATTGATACATGAAGAAACATATACCAAGTATTCCACAAGCTGTAAACAAGTCAATGGAAACTTTAGTCACCATTTATTTGTTTTACTAGTACTTGATTACAAGATAAATGTTCAACGATATCACTTTTAGAACTCTTTTTCCATTTTTTTTTTTATAACCAAAATGAGAATACCAAAAAAAATAAAAAATATGAGATAAGTAAAAAGTAGAGTGCATCCATATATATATATATAGACACCATGAATTTACAAATGCATGTACTTAAATACCTACTCAAGGAGGTACATAGACACTCTTGTCTTTAAGAGCAACCTGAGAAACACACAATTCAATTCATCACTTTGATCCATGATTTCACACATTTTAACCCAAACCTTTCTAGAACAAGAGGTTGTCTTAGTTAAATAACTCATCATTTCAATCAAGTGATAGACTTGATTTGTTAAGAACCTAATCACAGTAGTGATATCATGTTTGTTGTTCCTAACCAAGTGTTTGTAGCATTGAGTCCTTGTGTAATCTAACTCACCACAATTGTAACATGTGGGAATGAACTAAGGAGCAACTCTATGTTTCATATTTTCAACCTTAGGTTGAAGAACCCTATGTTGCACAAATGATCTCTACCCTAGGACTTCTATACTCTTGGTCTTGGTCTTGGTAGAGGTTGGTATAAAGGTGGTTTTAGAAGATATAGCAACACGAGAATTTGTCTCCTTATAGCCTAAGACTCACCTATTGCCAGTGGGTTTGTTCAATTCTAGGATGTTGGCAAGCTTCTTAAATCTACTTGGAAAAGAGCGAAGTTGTGCATTAGATTTCTCAATTTGATTGATCAAATATCTCGATGAGTTGGGAACTTAAGAATGAGCGAAGCAAAGAACATGAATTCGTATTGGGAACCATCGCCCATAAAAAATGGGCAGAGTGACTGCTTAAGTATTTTTTTGTTGAACGGTTAAAACTCTAGCTCAGTATTTAGCGACGGCTAAATTTTGACATCTGTGATTTGTTCATAGGACCATTGAAGAAAATGGTACTGAAGTTAGTGAGACTAATTAGAGGGACAAAATGGTCTTTTATGCTCATACCTAATTATCGAATCTCGAACAAGGATAAAATACATATAGGCAGGTGAAAGGGAAGTAATATAGATTTATTGGCTTCTAGGATTTTATCTATTCCGAGAGTTCATTATTTTGCCTTTACTAGAAAAAAACAAAGACTAATAATTAGATTGGCTGGTCTAGGGTCGGCTAGATAGGATCTAATTGTTGGAGCTTGGATAATATATGTCCAATTATGTCCCTATGGTAGCTCTATAAAGTATTTGAACTTAATTACGGTAATTATAATAGTTTAGGACTTAATTGTAATTACAATAAAATTTTGTACTTACTTGTAATTACTATAGTTGTAAACTTAATAATAATTGTAATTGAAGTTTTAGGACTACATGTGTAATTAAATGTAAACTAATTGGATTTGGACTTTAATTAAAACTCATACTTGAANAACATAAAATGACCATTATACCCTCATATATAAATAAGAAAAGAAAAGAAAAATAAAAAATAAATTGCAATCTGCTTATCAACTTTTTAAAAAATACAAATTAGTCCAAAACTTATTAAAAATAACAAAAACACACCCTCCCTCATCTCCTCCACCTGCAACATCCTCCTTACAAACTGCACAAACAACAAAATCATTGTTCTGCCGCACTTTGTCAACTGTCAACACCATTGTAGGCAAATTCTCCACCACGGGTTTCGATGCAGGCAGACCAACCTTTACAGCATTCTCATTCTCCACCAATTCTGGAAGATCAAAACGAGCAAATTCAGTCTCATTGTTATATTCTTCTTGGTTCTCAATACCAACATCCCTATCCAAATTATTCACTGTCATGAGCACTTCCCACTCGACATCTCTCTCTTCTTCTTCTTCTAATTCGCCTTCTACTGCATCTAAGAATGAATCCTCGCCTTCTGGGGATGGAACATTTGAAGAAACCAAGACTCCCCCAATTCGATCAATCACGGAGTCAAAATTCACTCTCTCGTCAAATTGGTTTCTCTCATTCACCTCCTCCCACTCAAACTCTTCTCTTTTGTTTTCAGTGATACGATAATCATTCACCCCAAAGCTTTCATAATTGTCTTCACCGTTAACAATAAACCCAGAATTTACCTCAAATACACCGAAACCAGACTCCGAATTCGAGCCATCAACCCGAGCCCCAAGCTCCACCGGGACCGTATCCTATCCAAGTCCCGGACCGAACCCAAATTCCATCCCCGTATCCTCCGACAGTCCTGAATCGAACTCCCGAATTGGGTCATCAAGAATATGGGCTTCGCGAGGCTCGAACAGATCGGTAACAAAATTCATCGGCTCGTCGTATCGTTCTCGACACAAACAGCAATTTCGGTCAGGTAAGGAATCCGCATACTCGCAACCCCAGCTATCGGGTTCTGCATTAAAATCGAAACCAAAATTGGAACTGGTGTTGTAGTCATCAAAGAAACCGGAATTCGAATTACTGGGTGGCTCCAATGAATCGAAATCGAGCAAAGATGAGCTGTGTCGATT